CGCCTCTCCGCACGCTGGTCGATGCACAGCTGCTCACCCCCCCACGCTTGCCTCCCCTTGCCGCGCGCGCTTCTCCACGAGTTCACCCGGCGATGGCACAACAGAGCCCACGAAGCCTCTCCACGACGGCGCTCGACTACTGGGCAGGTGCGTTTGGAAAGCACCGGGCGCGAAACACCCCCCCACAACGGTTCAAAAAAAAAAAAAAAACAAAGTGAAGGTAACCCGCCAGGCCACTTTCCGGCCGTTCCGGTTCGTGGCCGACGGTGGCAAAAATTTGGGCGCGATTTTTTTTGGGCGGCCCAGGGCCTGAGTAAAAGCCCTGGACCGCCCAAAAAAAATTTGCCCCTTGTGCTGGGGCCCTCAAATCCGGACCAACAGCCGGACCCGGACCACGGACGGTCCGGATCCCTGTCCGGTGGTCTGGATCGTAGCCATGGTGGTTTTCGATTGGCCAAAAATTTCGCCACATTTTTGCTCACAGCCTGAGGTGTAGAGTGGTCCTCACTTGTGGCCCGACCCACATTGGGCTACAGAGGAGGACCACCTGTCCCATTTGTAATCGCTGCTCTTACCACTGTGGTAAACTCATTTCCCTCAGTGGCAACGGCCGATAGGTTCCCAACCACTGTCATTGGCCCGTTTTCAGTCTATCGCATCATTACGGACTCTGGATCCTCTCTTTTGGGGCCTCGCCGGATGGTGGGCGAAACGGAAAACAAAACTACTTCGTTTCGTGAACTTGTTGCCGCACAATGCACACTCGAATCTTGTCAAGAAAAACTCGCGTATGTTGTCAAAGTTGGATTTTGCGAGGTTGAGCACGTGTGCGTTCCTCCCCCGTCTGCAATACGCATGAACTCGCAGGTCATCCGCTGGGCCGGTGGAGGCGGTGTGAAACCTCACGAGTCTSGCGAGCCGGTCCAAATGGAGTGCGTCCAAAAAATCTGGACCTTAGCGCGTGTTGGAAGTCGCATAGTACACACGAACCTTGGAAGTTGCATAGCACACAGGAACCCCACACGAATCTCGAGACGGAGTTCCCGCAAGGGAGTTAGTGTGTGTTGTGTTGCGAAGAGGCCAGAAAAGGGAAGAAACGGTGATTCAGGGCATCACGAGGCCTCGCAAGTTGGGAGCTCGTTTCACCTCGTTTTTTGCACTGTTTGGAGAAGAAAATATAGCAGTGTTTGGTGAACCAAAATTGATTTTGCCTAAACAAATAAAAAGGATATGCAATTGCAGGTCATATAGCTTTTTTCTTCTTCTTCTTTTTCTTCTTGTGGTTGTTGCTGTTGTTGTTCTTGTTGGTGTTGTGCACGTCGACAGCGTGGAGCACGGCTATGGCGCCCAGGTGGTTGTGGTCCTGGTTGTTGTTGTGGTTGTTGCTGTGCAGGTCAAAAGTGTTTGGTGAACCAAAAATGATTCTGCCTAGACAAATAAAAAAGATATGCAATTGCAGGTCATATAGCTTTCTTCTTCTTCTTCTTCTTCTTCTTCTTCTTCTTCTTGTGGTTGTTGTTGTTGTTGTTGTTGTTGTTGTTGTTGTTGTTGTGCAGGTCGACAGCGTGGATCACGGTTATGGCGCCCACATAAGTGACGCAGGTATGGCCTCCGACCCTCCTCCTCTTCTTCTTCTTCTTCTTCTTCTTCTTCGTCTTCTTGTGGTTCTGGTTGTGGTTGTTGTTGTGGTTGTTGCTGTTGTTGTTCTTGTTGGTGTTGTGCAGGTCGACAACGTGGAGCACGGCTATGGCGCCCAAGTGGTTGTGGTTCTGGTTGTTGTTGTGGGTGTTGCTGTTGTTGTTGTTGTTGCTGTTGTTATTGTCGTTGTGCAGGTCGACAGCGTGGATCACGGCTATGGCGCCCAGGTAAGTGACGCAGGTATGGCCTCCGCCCCTTCTTCTTCTTCTTCTTCTTCTTCTTCTTCTTCTTCTTCTTCTTCTTCTTCTTGTGGTTGTGCAGAAGCACCCACCGCTGGATCTGTTATCTTAGTGGGAATTCTCTTAAAATTGGAGTAAAATTCTCTTGTGTTTTTTTAAGATTTTATGGAGATGAATTCAATTTTGGAGTAGAAAATGTAGAAGTGTTTGGTGAACCAAAAATGATTCTGCCTAAACAAATAAAAAGGATATGCAATTGCATGTCATACAACCTCCTTCTTCTTCTTCTTCTTCTTCTTCTTCTTCTTCTTCTTCTTCTTCTTCTCCTTCTTCTTCTTCTTCTTCTTCTTCTTTTTCTTCTTCTTGTGGTTGTGTAGAAGCACCCACCGGTGGATCTATTATCTTAGCGGGAATTCTCTTAAAATTGAGAACTTGTGGTTTTTTAAGATTTTCTGGAGATGAATTCAAATTTGGAGTACAAAATATAGAAGTGTTTGGTGAACCAAAAATGATTCTGCCTAAGCAAATAAAAAGGATATGCAATTGCAGGTCATATAGCCTCCTTCTTCTTCTTCCTCTTCTTCTTCTTCTTCTTCTTCTTCTTCTTCTTCTTCTTCTTCTTCTTCTTCTTCTTCCTTCTTCTTCTTCTTCTTCTTCTTCTTCTTCTTCCTTCTTCTTCTTCGTCTTCTTCTTCTTCTTCTTCCTTCTTCTTCTTCTCTTCTTCTTCTCTTCTTCTTCCTTTTTCTTCCTTCTTCTTCTTCTTCTTCTTCTTCTTCTTCTTCTTCTTCTTCCTTCTCCTTCTTCTTCTTCTTCTTCTTCTTCTGGTTGTGTAGAAGCACCCACCGCAGAATCTGATATCTTAGCGGGAATTCTTTTAAAATTGGGAACTTGTGTTTTCTTAAGATTTTCAAGAGATGAATTCAAATTTGGAGTAGAAAATGTAGAAGTGTTTGGTGAACCAAAAATGATTCTGCCTAAACAAATAAAAAGGATATGCAATTGCAGGTCATATAGCCTCCTTCTTCTTCTTCTTCTTCTTATGCCTTCTTCTTCTTCTTCTTTTTCTTCTTCTTCTCCTTCTCCTTCTCCGTTTTCTTCTTTCTTCTTCCTTCTTCTTCTTCTTCTTCTTCTTCTTCTTCTTCTTCTTCTTCTTCTTCCTCTTCTTCTTCTTCTTCTTTTTCTTCTTCTTCTTGCTGTTGTTGTTCTTGTTGGTGTTGTGCAGGTCGAGAGCGTGGCGCACGGCTATGGCGCCTAGGTGGTTGTGGTTCTGGTTGTTGTTGTGGTAGTTGCTGCTGTTGTTGTTGTTGTTTAGGTCGACAGCGTGGATCACGGCTATGGCGCCCAGGTAAGTGACGCAGGTATGGCCTCCGCCCCTCTTCTTCTTCTTCTTCTTCTTCTTCTTCTTCTTCTTCTTCTTGTGGTTGTTGTTGTTGATGTTCTTGTTGGCGTTGTGCAGGTCGACAGCGTGGAGCACGGCTATGGCCCCCAGGTGGTTGTGGTTCTGGTTGTTGTTGTGGTTGTTCCTGTTGTTGTTGTTGTTGTGCAGGTCGAGAGCATAGATCATGGCTGTGGTGCCCAGGTACGTGACGCAGGTATGGTCTCCGCCCCTCTTCTACTTCTTAAAATTGGAGTAAAATTCTCTTGTGGTTTTTTAAGATTTTCTAGAGATTAATTCAATTTTGGAGTAGAAATTGTAGAAGTGTTTGGTGAACCCAAAATGTTGCTGCCTAAACAAATAAAAAGCATATGCAATTGTAGGTTATATAGCCTCCTTCTTCTTCTTCTTCTTCTTCTTCTTCTTCTTCTTCTTCTTCTCTTCTTCTTCTTCTTCTTCTTCTTCTTCTTCTTCTTCTTCTTCTTGTGGTTGTGTAGAAGCACCCACCGCTGAATCTATTATCTTAACGGGAATTTTCTTAACATTGGGAACTTGTGTTTTTTTTAGATTTTCTGGAGATGATTTCAATTTTGGAGTAGAAAATATAGAAGTGTTTGGTGAACCAAAAATGATTCTGCCTAAACAAATAAAAAGGATATGCAATTGTAGGTCATATAGCCTCCTTCTTATTCTTCTTCTTCTTCTTCTTCTTCTTCTTCTTCTTCTTCTTGTGCCTTCTTCTTCTTCTTCTTCTTCTTCTTCTTCTTCTTCTTCTTGTGGTTGTGTAGAAGCACCCACAGCTGGATTTGATATCTTAGCAGAAATTCTCTTAAAATTGGGAACTTGTGTTTTTTTAAGATTTTCTTGAGATGAATTCAATTTTGGAGTAGAAAATGCAGAAGTGTTTGGTGAACCAAAAATGATTCTGCCTAAACAAATAAAAAGGATATGCAATTGCAGGTCATACAGCCTCCTCAATCTTCTTCTTCTTCTTCTTCTTCTTCTTCTTCTTCTTCTTCTGCCTTCTTCTTCTTCTGCTTCTTCTTCTTCTTCTGCTTCTCCTTCTCCTACTCCTTTTTCTTCCTTCTTCTTCTTCTTCTTCCTCTTCTTCTTCGTCTTCTTCTTCTTCTTCTTCTTCTTCTTCTTCTTCTTTTTCTTCTTCTTCTTGTTGCTGTTGTTGTTCTTGTAGGTGTTGTGCTGGTCGACAGCGTGGAGCACAGCTATGGCGCCCAGGTGGTTGTGGTTCTTGTTGTTGTTGAGGTAGTTGTTGTTGTTGTTGTTGTTGTGCAGGTCGACAACGTGGATGACGGCTATGGCGCCCAGGTAAGTGACGCAGGTATGGCCTCCTCCCCTCTTCTTTTTTTTTCTTCTTCTTCTTCTTGTGGTTGTTGCTGTTGATTTCTTGTTGGCGTTGTGTAGGTCGACAGCGTGGAGCACGGCTATGGCACCCAGGTGGTTGTGGTTCTGGTTGTTGTTGTTCAGGTCGAGAGCATGGATCACGGCTATAGCGCCCAGGTAAGTGACGCAGGTATGGCCTCCGCCCCTCTTCTTCTTCTTCTTCTTCTTCTTCTTCTTCTTCTTCTTCTTCATCTTCTTCTTCTTCTTCTTCTTCTTCTTCTTCTTCTTCTTGTGGTTCAGGTTGTGGTTGTTGTTGTTGTTGTTGCTGTTGTTGTTCTTGTTGGTGATGTGCAGGTCGACAGCATGGAGCACGGCTATGGTGCCCAGGTGGTTGTGGTTCTGGTTGTTGTTGTGGTTGTTACTGTTGTTGTTGTTGTTGTGCCGGTCGAGCGCGTGCATCACGGCTATGGCGCCTGCGTAAGTGACGCAGGTATGGCCTCCGCCCCTCTTCTTCTTCTTCTTCTTTTTCTGGTTGTGTAGCCTTCTTCTTCTTCTTCTTCTTCCTCTTCTCCTTCTCCTTCTCCTTCTTCTTCTTCTTCTTTTTTCTTCCTTCTTCTTCTTCTTCTTCTTCTTCTTCTTCTTCTTCCTGTTGCTGTTGTTGTTCTTGTTGGTGTTGTGCGGGTCGACACCGTGGAGCACGACTATGACGCCTAGGTCGTTGTGGTTCTGGTTGTTGTTGTGGTTGTTGTTGTGTAGGTCGACATCGTGGATCACGGCTATGGCGCCCAGGTAAGTGACGCAGGTATGGCCTCCGCCCCTCTTTTTCTTCTTTTTCTTCCTCTTCTTCTTCTTCTTCTTCTTCTTTTTCTTCTTCTTCTTCTTGTGGTTTTCGTTCTGGCTGTTGTTGTGGTTGTTGATGTTGGTGTCCTTGTTGGTGTTGTGCAGGTCGACAGCGTGGAGCACGGCTATGTCGCCCAGGTGGTTGTGGTTCTGGCTGTTGTTGTGGTTGTTGCTGTTGTTTTTGTTGTTGTCTTGGTCGACAGCGTGGATCACGGCTATGGCGCACAGATAAGTGACACAGGTATAGCCTCCGCCCTTCTTCTTCTTCTTCTTCTTCTTCTTCTTCATCTCCTTCTTCTTCTTCTTTTTCTTGTGGTTGTTGTTGTTGTTGTTGTTCTTGTTGGTGTTGTGCAGGTCGACAGCGTGGAGCACGGCTATGGCACCCGTTGTGCAGGTGGACAGCGTGGAGCACGGCTATGGCGCCCACTTGGTTGTGGTTCTGGTTGTGGTTCTGGTTGTGGTTCTGGTTGTTGTTGTGGTTGTTGCTGTTGTTGTTTTTGTTGTGCAGGTCAACAGCGTGGATCACGACTATGGCGCCCAGGTAAGTGACGCTGGTATGGCCTCCGCCCCTCTTCTTCTTCTGCTTCTCCTTCTTCATCTTTTTCTTGTTGTTGTTCTTCTTCTTGTGGTTCTCGTTCTGGTAGTTGTTGTGGTTGTTGCTGTTGTTGTTCTTGTTGGTGTTGTGCAGGTCGACAGCGTGGAGCACGGCTATGGCGCCCATGTGGTTGTGGTTCTGGTTGTTGTTGTGGTTGTCGTTGTTGTTGTTGTTGTTCTGCAGGTCTTCAACGCGGATCATGGCTATGGCGCCCAGGTAAGTGACGCAGGTATGGCCTCCGCCCCTCTTCTTCTTCTTTTTCTTCTTCTTCTTGTTCTTCTTCTTCTTCTGGTTGTGCAGAAGCACCCACCCCTGGATCTGTTGTCTTAGCGGGAATTCTCTTAACATTGGGAACTTGTGTCTTTTTAAGATTTTGTAGATATGAATTGAATTTTGGACTACAAAATGTAGAAGTGTTTGGTGAACTTAAAATGATTCTGCCTAAACAAATAAAAAGGATATGCAATTGCAGGTTATATAGCCTCCTCCTTCTTTTTTTTTCTTCTTCTTCTTCTGCTTCTTCTTCTTCTTCTTCTTCTACCTTCTTCTTCTTCTTCTTCTTCTTCATCTTCTTCTTCTTCGTCTTCTTCTTCTTCTTCTGCCTTCTTTTTCTTCTTATGCTTCCTTCTTCTTCCTTCTTCTTCCTTCTTCTTCCTTGTCCTTCTTCTTCTTCTTCTTCTTCTTCTTCTTCTTCTTCTTCTTCTTCTTGTGGTTGTGTAGAAGCAGCCACCGCTCGATCTGTTATCTTAGCGGGAATTCTCTTAAAATTGGGAACTTGTGTTTTTTTAAGATTTTCTGGAGAGATGAATTCAATTTTGGAGTACAAAATGTAGAAGTGTTTGGTGAACCAAAAATGATTCTGCCTAAACAAATAAAAAGGATACGCAATTGCAGGTCATATAGCCTTCTTCTTCTTCTTCTTCTTCTTCTTCTTCTTCTTCTTCTTCTTTTTCCTTCTTTCTTCTTCTTCTTCTTTTGGAGGAGCCCATACCTCCGTCACTAACCTGGGCGCCATAACCGTGATCCACGCTGTCGACCTGCACAAGAAGAAGAACAACAACAATAGCAACAACCACAACAACAACCAGAACCATAACCACCTGGGCGCCATAGCCGTGCTCCACGCTGTCGACATGCACAACAACCACAAGAACAACAACAGCAACAACCACAACAACCACAACAACAATCAGACGACCAAGAAGAAGAAAACGAAAAAGAAGAAGAAGAAGAGGGGCGGAGGCCATACATGCGTCACTTACATGGGCGCCATAGCCGTGATCCACGCTGCGTCCTGCACAACAACAACAACAAGAACAACAACAACCACAACAACAACCAGAACCACAACCACCTGGGCGCCATAGCTGTGCTCTACGCTGTCGACCTGCACAACAACAACAACAAAAACCCGAACCAGAAGAAGAAAAAGAAGAAGAAGAAGAAGAAGAAGAAGAGGGAAGGACGCCATACCTGCGTCACTTACCTGGGCGCCATAGCCGTGATCCACGCTGTCGACCTGCACAACAAGAACAACAACAACAACAGCAACAACCACAACAACAACTTGAACCACAACCACCTGGGTGCCATAGCCGTGCTCCACGCTGTCAACCTGCACAACAACAAGAAGAAGAACAACAACAACAACCACAACAACAACCAGACGAAGAAGAAGATGAAGAAGAAGAAGAAGAAGAAGAAGAAGAAGAAGAAGAAGAAGAAGAAGAGGGTCGGAGGCCATACTTGTGTCACTTACCTGGGCGCCATAGCCGTGATCCACGCTGTCGACCTGCACAACAGCAACAAGAACAACAACAACAACAACCACAACAACAACCAGAACCACAACCACCTGAAGAAGTAGAAGAAGACGACGACGACGACGACGACGACGACGAAGAAGAAGAAGAAGAAGAAGAAGAAGAAGAAGAAGAAGAAGAAGAAAGCTATATGACCTGCAATTTTTACAGCGTAGCTTCCATTTACTGAATTCAAAAAAAAAACTTTTACGCGATTATTGTCACTTCGCCATATTTCTGTTAATTCAGTCCAAACTAGTTTATTTTTGCATATTCTTTTTGTTTGTTTAGGCAAAATCATTTTTGGTTCACCAAACACTTCTACATTTTCTACTCCAAAATGGAATTCATCTCCAGAAAATCTTAAAAAAACATAAGTTCCCAATTGTAAGAAAATTCCCGCGAAGATAACAGATCCATCGGTGGGTGTTAAACGGTCTTTTCCTCTTAGCAGTAGCCGATGCAGCACCAGGGTTCGTTCCCTAGACCTCACCCTACGCATGTGCAGTATCCGTGTAGACCCCGAGAAGTGAACCTTTGACCTGTGTATTCGTAGACAGTTGGTAGGTCTGTCGTAGGTCCATAGGCAGCAGGGGCTCGATCTGTAGGTCTATAGCATAGAAGTCTTAGTGGGTTCCAGAAGTTGAGCTGTAGTCCTTCTAGAAGGTAGGCAAGTGGGCAAGTGGTCAAGTGGCGAGGCAAGTGGTGGACTAAACTGCAATGCAATAGCAGTACAACGTCGGTAGGATAGCAGTAAGTCCACAGTCCGTCAGCGGTAAGGTCCAATCAGTCCCAGTCCGGTCCAGCAAGTACCACGGGGGACTGTGAGCACCATGGGCCGATGGCAAAGGGCATACCAACGAGTTCCTGAAGTATAAATCAAAAGGCAGCGCCCAACTTTTCATTCATTCCTGCGTGAGCCATGCGGAAGCGCTGCCACAGCGACTTGTGTAAGGAGGTCTGGAGGGGGCTCGGAGGACTCAGTGGGCGAGAGAGGAGGGTTAGCATAGCGATAGGTTAGAGGCAGCCATAGCTGCCATAGTTGTAGTTAGTGGGAAGAGTGTGTGTGCATGTGTGAGTGTTCAGAGTGACGTGTGTGGGATATCCAGGGTGATCCAGGGTGTGAACAGTGAGTTGTTTGGGCGCTAAGTCGCCATAGCCAGTTGAAAGAGAACTCGTATCTGGAAGCCATATCTCTGAGTTCTGAGTGGGCGCATGTCGCCAGTGTGCTGTGCTGCTGTTTACATACATGAAAAGTGGGAATAAGACGAGTCTGATTGCATTGGTATCAGAGCTGGTACCCGCTATTCCATGCGCGCCGTCGTATCCAGGGCCTGATGCGCCATAGCAGAGGTGGCCGCCGAAGGTGATAGTCCGCCATAGCGGAGCAGAGGACGAAGAAGCCGCCGCGCACCTGCAAGAAGA